CGGCCCCGCCCTACCTTCGCGGCCCCGCCCTACCTGTCGCGGCCCCGCCATGACCGTCGCGGCCCCGCCACTCGTTGCGGCCCCGCCCCTTGTCGCGGCTCCGCCCTCCAATCAGGTCCTTGGTGGGCCCTTTCCTCCACACCCCCCCCCCCCCCCCCCCCCCCCTGCCATTTCCCGTCGCCCGTCGCGGCTCCTTCGGGGGCCGCTGTGGGGTGGCGGGTATGGGGGTGGTCGGTGTGCCTTCCTCCCTTTCTCCTCCTCCTCCTTCGTCTCCCACTGCTGCAGCTGTCGCTGAGGGGGGTGGTTGTGTGGGAGACTGGGTTTAGGGTTTAAGGGGGGTGCGTGGGAGTAGAGCTAGTGGTGTAGCAGTGGGTGTGTATCAGGGGGGTGGGACTGTGTGCGGGAGGATGAGCGGAGGTTGCCAGTTTGTCGTCAGCAGCACCTGTAGTCCGGGGCGCTGTCCCGGTAGCCCAGTCGTAGCCAGCTGTGCCAACCGCCCGTGGGTCCGTTGCCCGTCCGCCGCTATTTGAGCCGCGGGGCCTGTTACTCCTGTAGTCCGGGCGCTGTCCGGTAGCCGCTGTGCCAGTCTGCCTCCTGTTGCCCGTGTGTCTGCAGCTTCAGCCGTCGCCTCCTGTCTCCTCTCCCCTCACTCTCCCTCCTCCTCCTCACTTGCCCGTTGTGACTACCACTAGCTTTGCTTATAATTGTGAACTCTAAACTATTTCTTCTTGACCTTGTGCTCAGAATGCGTGGTGACATTGTGATCCACCCTGAGCTTGTACTGTTTTGCCTGCTCTGCTGATTACACCCCACTTTGGCTATGGGGGTGTGTCAGAATATTATCTTATTGTTCTAGCCTGTAGTGGGGTGCTCTATAGCGAGTACAACCCTTCTAGGGTTTGCTATTTGTATCCTCATTCTTGCTAGTTCAATCCTCTTTCTTTCTTCTAATTTTGACACCCCGTCGTCCAGTCGATCCGTGGGTTGTACCGTCGCAGCCAATCACGTCATAATAAAATGTGGTGCCCATCCAATGTCGTCGCGAGCATTTCCTGTGTAAACCCGAAGTTCCCCCCGCAGCGGACTTTTACGCGCTCCACCTTTTCCCGTATGGCCAGGGGCGTGCCGTCGACTAAGCGTGCATCTATCTCAGGTAAACATCGGTTAAGCGTTAACTGTAATTTTCGTGCGGTTGCGGTATTAACTAAGCTGTGGCTTGCTCCTCCGTCAATGAAGATCTTTACTGCTGCTCCCTGTATTTTCCCGTAGATCAGTACCGGGCAATCCGTCGCTGTACCCTCCTTATTCATCCGAGCCCGATCGATGGCGTGAATCGGTACTGTGACTCGGTGAGGGTCGGTGTGGTTGGGCGAGCAGGCAGTCTCGTCAGTAGTTGGCCCAACTTCTACTGACTGCTGGCGTTTCCCTGCCTCCGAGACTCCTTCCCCTGCTCTGCTCCTCGACGCCTCAGCTCCTCTGGACATTCGTTCTTGCGATGGCCCGGCCGGTTGCAAGCAAAGCAGCGCCCTCTAAACGGCGCGGCAGCTGCATTCGCTGCGACGGCATGTACAGTGGCGTGCTCGGTCGATCCCCGAGGACGATGTCCGTAATAGGACCCCGGTCTCGGTCGGCGTAGGATATCGATTCTCTCGGCGAGCGCGAGGATCTCGTTGAAATTCGAGAGCCCGCGTAGCATCATCTCGTGCGAGATGTCCGGCTTCAGCCCTCCGACGTAACGGTCCACCCGCTCCGCCTCGTGCATGTAGCCGACCTGTTCGCAAAGTGCGAGAAACCCGCTGGTGTAGTCTTGAACTGACCCGAGCTGGCGCCAAGTGTGCAGTTTCTGACGCGCCGAAATCAAGGCCGCGATCGGCTCAAAGCGCGCCCGAAGCCCTGCGCACCACGCATCCCACGTGCTGTATTGGGCGGTTTCGCAGAACGAACTCCAGGTAACAGCTGGACCCGAGGGCCCTTCCTCGTGCGACGGTGGCTCGTAGGCGCGCGGCGACGTCACAATGACTCGCCACCAGTCCATGGCGGGGCCCCTGAGTAGTGAAACCGCATACCGGATCTTGGCGGCGTCCGACTCGACGTAGTTGGCGTCGAAAAACACATTCATCGTGAAGACCCACGATTGAACTGTCGGGCCGCCGCGTTGGCTTGGGTCGAAGCAGGGCGGGCGTTGCGGCTTGAGTGGCATTGGGGCCATCATGGCGTTCTCGCCACTTGTCGCCGCAAACTCCACGTGCCGACGGGCTTCTCGGGGCTCCCGTGGGCTTAATGCGCTCCTGTTCCCTCCCATGCCGGGCATCGGTTGGGCTGCGTCGTCACTGGCTGCGCCTGAGCGCTGTCCCGTGCTGTTGTGTTGCGTTGGTGTGCCGGATGAGATGACGATGGGCTCCTCCGAATGTGCAGATGCATTGGTTGGTGCGTGTGATGTCGTCGGTACGTTCACCGTTGACTGTTGACGGGCGGAGTCACGTTCCGCCGTGAGAGTCGCGATTTCGAGCGCCGAATCCTCCAATTGACGCACGAGACGATCGAGTTGCTCCTGCGTCAACGTGGCGAGATTGAAATCGGCCATGGCGGGGGTGTCGGGCAAGCTCAGCGAGAGCCTCGGTCGTGGCCGTGCGTGCTTTCGAGAGAGCACTACGAGCGGCGGTGCTGTGTCGCTGAGAGACGTCTACCCCCCCCAAAAAATTGAGATAGTGGGAAGCGAAGGTGTGGATGCGGTTCGAGATGAGATCGTAGGCTCTGAATACCAAGTGTTACGAGTGCAATTGAGTGAACGAACGAGAATTGCACTATCGAAGCAAGAATACAAATGAGCGAAGGCATGAGCGAACATTATATAGCGAAACTACAGTGGTAACGGTAATGGTCGCGCGACGAGCCTGGGACTGAGGTTGGGAAAGTGTCGAAGCGTAGGTCCGGAGCGCGGGTTACCAGCCGAGCCGTGAGGTCGGGATGCGATGTGCGAAAAAGGGCGGGATGATGAATGATGCGATGGTCGCAAGTGGTAACGGTGCTGACTGAGGTGCTACAGTGATGTACGCGTTGAGCAGGGACGCAAAGTAAGGAAAAGGGATTTTCCTTACAATATGTAAGCATTAGGACTGATACACTATACTCATTTATTCTATTTATCCAGCCAGCTTGGTGAAAAAGCCCATCACAATGGCATACTGTTTAAATATAGGATAATGCATAACTGATATTTATGTGTTCACCTATCAATTATAAACTTCTACCTGTCTATGAATATTAAGTAGCCTAACTACTTTCAGTACTTGTGTCAGCTTCCTTTTTTCCCATGTAACAGCTAAACCAGAAGAGAGTTTCGCAGCAAAAAGGCATTCGGAAGCATGATCGAGACCCCCTTTGTAAGGATTTACAAATCCTTACTGAGGCACTCGTTAGCGAGGCCATCCCGAGGGTCACGCGACGAACCTGTCCTTCCTATTTCGTCGCACCGAACCACTCCCGAGTCGGCCTCCGCTCCAATCGCAACCATCACCGAGCCATCCCATCCCGAACCTCCCGCTTAGCCAGGTTTTCCCCTATTTAGGCCTCGCTACTTCATTGTTTCTTCATTCAGTAATCAGTTCATTCTCGTTATTCGATATTCTGCGCACTCTGCAAGTTCATTCATAACACCCTTTGAAACGCTGATTCGACCACTTTACATCGTAGAGAGCCTCCTTGAGCCGCATATCTGATCAGAAAGGGACACAGGGAGGGCACGAAGTCCACTTTCGTGTGGTGAAACCTCAGGATAACATGCTTCTGACATTTCTGCTTCGCGTTATCTCGTAGCAGATTTGCAGTATGTGCAGCATAGGCTAGAGAGAATGCAGGCTGCAGTGCGCACCGCGGTTTGCGATTACAAGAACCAGTATTAGCCACGTCGAATTCTCCTGCTAACGCCTGCTGCCATGCCTGCCAGCTTCACTGTCGTTCAGGAGAAGTCGCTTGCCTCGCAGGTCAGTCGCTTGCCTCGCAGGTCAGTCGCTTGCCTCGCAGGTCAGTCGCTTGCCTCGCAGGTCAGTCGCTTGCCTCGCAGGTCAGTCGCTTGCCACACAGGACAGTCGCTTGCCTCGCAGGTCTGTCGCTTGCCTCGCAGGTCTGTCGCTTGCCTCGCAGGTCTGTCGCTTGCCTCGCAGGTCCTTGGTTCTTTGTTCGTCCTTCACAATAAGTTCTTTCCCTTACCTTCCATCTCAGGCATGTCTAGCGGATTGGAGTGGCGACAAGCACCTGCTGGCCGTTGTGTGTGTCACCGTGACCAGGTGTCTGGAAATAGAACGCCTCGTCTGGCCGTCACAATCAATTTTGTTTCGTTCTTCCTGTCCGTCTCAGGCATGTCTGGCGGAGGGGAGTGGCGAAAAGGACCTGCTAGCCCTCGTGTGCCTGCAGCTTTACCTCGGCGGTTGATACGGCAAATCTTGTGACTTTGGCTTTTTTTCTTCCCCTCAATGTCAGGCATGTCTGGCGGAGTGGAGTGGCGACAAGGACCTGCTGGCCCTCGTGTGTCGCGACCAGCATCTCCTCGTTTTTCGCCTCAACTGGCAGCGCCTCTGGGCAGCCATTTCTGGTGAATCAACCATTTTTAACTTTGGGGTGAAATTCTGGTAACTTGGAATGGAATTTGTGATTTTGGTAACTGGGGAATGTGGTTGATCAATCTGTTAAAACTTATGAAATCGGTGGGTGAATCTGTTGGTTTCAGATATGAACAATCATTCCGATGCTTCTTTCAGTCTCGTTGTGTTGCCCTTTTTGTCCGCCCAAATAAGTAGTACTGTGTAACCCTCCCTTGCTGCTCTCTTCCCCTCCTCCTTCCCGCCAGAGGTGCCTGTGACTGCGCTGACGTGGCGGCCAGATGGGCGGGCCATTCTGACAGGGCATACAGATGGCAGCATCGTGTACCGCCACGTGGAGGTCAGCCCTCATGTGTGTGTGTGTCTGCGTCTTGCCTTTCGTTTCCAAACAAGCAGAGTGAAATGGACGGTGATCAATACGAGTGCAGCGAGGGACCGAGTGAGGATTCTAATACCAGATCATATTGTTTCACATTCTCTTTAAGCACCCTATAATATAGGCAAGTACGGAGAATGGGGGGATGGAGCAGCATACCCCTGGAACTAGTTCGTCTTCTCCCCTGCAGGGTAGAGGCATCATCTATCAGGTCTCTTCCATCCACTCTGCAACCCTTCCTCCATCTCTCCTTCTTCTCAATCTCCCCCCACCCCCCCCAACTCGCTCTTCCCCATACCCCCCGGCAGGGCGGAGACATCATCCTCCAGGTCTCCACCCTGCAAGGGGGCGACCAAGTCCCCACCAGGTCTCGCTCCCTCTCCCCAACACTGCTCCCCCTTTTCCCCCATTCCCCTCTTCACCCGTTCCCCTTCCGCCCTTCCCCCTTCCCCCTCCCCTCTTCTCCTGGTCCCCCTGCAGGGCGGAGACATCATTCATCAGGTCTCCTCCTTCCACTCCGCCCCTCTCTCCGCCCTCTCGTGGTCCTCCCTGCACCTCTCCCCCTCCTCCACCACTGCTCCTCCCAATGCCAGTCCTGCTCCCACCGCCACTGCCACCAGCACCTCCCTTCCTCTCTCCCCTTCCTCCCTCCTCGCCAACCTCCCCTCCCTCTCCCCCCTCTCCTCCTCCTCCTCCACCGCCAAGCTCCCCCCCTCCGCCCCCTCCCCGCCTTTCCCCCATGGCCCCTACCACGACCTCACTCATATCTACCTCCCCCGGACTCCACCCGCCTCTTCCCTTCCCTCGGCCTCCTACCTCTCCATGCCTGCTGACTCAGTTGCTGACGTGGACGGGGCCCGCGCGCCCGAGGATGAGCGGTGGTGGATGCACATGCCTGCTGGCAAGGGGAGAGGGGGAGGGGGAGAGGGAGGGGGTGGAGGGGGAGGGGGAGGGGGGGGAGGGAGAGGGAGGGGAGGAGGAGAGGAGTATGCTGTGTGTGTTAGTGAGTGTGGATGTGGTGGGGTGTGTGGTGGTGAGCGCGTTTGGCATCTTCCCACTCATCAAGCTGGTAAGCCGTCACTTGCCCTCACTTGCCCTGTAGCCTGTGGCATGTCCTGTAGGCCGTGACTTGCCACTTGCAGTGTATTCAATTTGACGTAGTGATGTGTCTGCTGCGTGTTAGACATGGTGCATCACATATGTGCAAACTCGTTTACGTATGGATGGAAACGGAAGCAGGGGGGAACCCGTCACACCACACCACACCACACCACACCACACCACACCACGCCACGCCACATCACACAGCACCGCACGATACCACAACATGAGCACAGACACCATGTCTCCTTTCCTCTCTTGCTTGCCTACCTTCCTATCCTCTCTCCCCTCTCCTCTCTCCCCTATCCCTCTCACCTTCCTGCCTGTCTCATCACGCGCCCACCTGCCTGCGTCCTCTCTCGCCCGCGTGTCAGGACATGACAAGGCATGCAAGTGGGGCTCGTGTGAAGGTAAGTAAGTCGAGGGGAGAGGGGAGAGGGGAAGAGGGAGGGGGGGCCAACCAAGCCGAGTGAAGCCGTGTCAGTCAGCTGCTGCAGGCAAGCAACGGGCTGAGTGAAGCCGTGTCAGTCAGCTGCTGCAGGCAAGCAACGGGCTGAGTGAAGCCGTGTCAGTCAGCTGCTGCAGGCAAGCAACGGGCTGAGTGAAGCCGTGTCAGTCAGCTGCTGCAGGCAAGCAACGGGCTGAGTGAAGCCGTGTCAGTCAGCTGCTGCAGGCAAGCAACGGGCTGAGTGAAGCCGTGTCAGTCAGCTGCTGCAGGCAAGCAACGGGCTGAGTGAAGCTGCCTCATCCCCCATTTCATTCACAGCCCCTTCCCTTTGCTTCTCTACCGAAATCTCCACTCCCAAATCCTTTGTGCCTCCCACAGCCGTTGATAACTCCTCATCTCTCTCACACAGTTTTAGGCTTTGCGGATTCTCGAACACATTTCTCTTTCCCCATTCCCGCCCCATGTGCCCCCAACAGGCGATGCTGACACCTGATCTGGCCCACCTCATTGTTGTCACTGCCAGCAGCAGCAGCAGCATCAGCAGCAGCAGCAGCAGCAGCAGCAGCAGCAGCATCCGGGATGGGAAGCAAGGGCGGCAGGGGCAGCAAGAGCAGGGCGAGGCTGGCTGTGAGCTGGCGCTGTTTGACACGGCCATGATGAGGCACAGGTGGGTGGGGGGTGGGAGGGCGGGAGGTGGGAGAGTGACAGACAGGTGGGAGGGTGACAGGGCTTATGGAGTGTGGATCAGCCTCAGTTCCTGCTGCACTGCAGCTTCCCCCGCTCCTGCCTTTCCTCTCCATGCTCCCCCCCTCTCCCCAAATCAGCCGCTGGGAGGTGCCGGCAGTGGCAACGCACGGGGCAGCAGCGCTAACAGGACTAATGGAGTTTGTTTCAGCAACTATGCGTTAGTCCTGTTAGTTCATTAGCAGCAGCAGTTGCTGCTACGGCTGAGAGCCCACCTTTTCCTCCCCCATACCCCTCCCCTATCCTCATTGCAGCCCCTGGGAGGTGCTGGCGGTGGCAACCCATGGGGCGGCACTAACAGGGCTCATGGAGTGCGTGTCAGCAACGGCTGCTGCTGCTAAGGCTGGAAGCCCCTTCACAGCCCTTTCCCCACCGCCCTCCCTTGTTCATTGTTCTCCTCTATGCAGCCCCTGGGAGGTGTTGGCAGTGGCAACGCACGGGGCGGCGCTGACAGCGCTCATGGAGTCTGTGTCAGCAACTGCTGCTGCCATGCACGGCCAATGGGAGGCCGCCAGCTTTCAGTGGCGGGAGAAGGTGCAGGGGCTGCAGCGACTGCTGGAGGAGAATGGTGAGCTGGCGGCAGGTGATTGGTGGGCTGACGAGAGGTGATTGGTGAGCTGGCGGCAGGTGATTGGTGAGATGCCCTACCCTTTTGCCCTTTTTCTACCTGCGATTTGAGAGTTTTTCCACCACTCAAAACCATGCCCTTGCAATGCCCCTGCCTGCCCCATGCTCCAACCATGTCTCAGATTGCCCCGCAGACCCTCGCTCAGAGCTGCTGTACATGCTCGCAACAGGGGCTGCTGGGTCGAGTTGTGCCACCACCACTCAAAACTGTGCCCTTGCAAATCTGCAATGCCCTTGCCCGCCCCTTGTTCCCGTGTCTCAGACTGCCCCTCAGACCCTCGCTCAGAGCTCCTGTACATGCTGGCAACAGGAGCTGCCAGCACGGATCTGAACAGCTTTTTCTCAGATACTCTTGCAGGCGAAGCGGTGAGTCTTGTTTGGTTATGAGAGGCTGCTGATGTTGATGCACAAGTTACTGATGCCTGCCTGCAATGTGCGCAATCTTCTTCATTCATTCTCTTTTGAGACATCTCAAAAGTCGCCTGCAATGTGCACAATGCTCCCCCACTAGTGCAATGCACCAGCGGCACTGCCCCGCCCCACTAGTGCAATGCACCAGCGGCACTGCCCCGCCCCACTAGTGCAATGCACCAGCGGCACTGCCCCGCCCCACTAGTGCAATGCACCAGCAGCACTGCCCCGCCCCACTAGTGCAATGCACCAGCAGCACTGCCCCGCCCCACTAGTGCAATGCACCAGCAGCACTGCCCCGCCCCACTAGTGCAATGCACCAGCAGCACTGCCCCGCCCCACTAGTGCAATGCACCAGCGGCACTGCCCCGCCCCACTAGTGCAATGCACCAGCAGCACTGCCCCGCCCCACTAGTGCAATGCACCAGCAGCACTGCCCCGCCCCACTAGTGCAATGCACCAGCAGCACTGCCCCGCCCCACTAGTGCAATGCACCAGCAGCACTGCCCCGCCCCACTAGTGCAATGCACCAGCGGCACTGCCCCGCCCCACTAGTGCAATGCACCAGCAGCACTGCCCCGCCCCACTAGTGCAATGCACCAGCAGCACTGCCCCGCCCCACTAGTGCAATGCACCAGCAGCACTGCCCCGCCCCACTAGTGCAATGCACCAGCAGCACTGCCCCGCCCCACTAGTGCAATGCACCAGCAGCACTGCCCCGCCCCACTAGTGCAATGCTTTGGCCACCCTTCAGCCAGCCACCCTTGCCCTCTGTCTCCCTCCCTGGCATGGACGATAGGGACAGCAGGGAACGCACTGCATGGACGATAGGGACAGCAGGGAACGCACTGCATGGACAATAGGGACAGCAGGGAACGCACTGCATGGACGATAGGGACAGCAGGGAACGCACTGCATGGCTTGCGCAAGCTGACCACCAGTGACAATTTTGCCTCTTTTTCCGCCCCCCCTTCTTCAACCCCACGTTTTCCCCATCCCCAGGGAGTGAAGCGGCTGGCACGGACGATAGAGACAGCAGGGAACGCGCTGCATGGTCTGCTCACACTGCACCTCATGCCCGCTCTGGAAGAGACCCTGTTCCGCCTCTCCTCCCTGCACTCCCTCGCTGCTACAGCTGCTGCTGCTGCCATTGCTGGTGCTACAGCTTCAGCTACTGCTACAGGTGCCACTGCTGGTTGTCCAGGGACAGTCAGCCCGTTTGAGGCTCTGGGACTAGCACACTGCATGGGCGATGCTGGCGGTAGTGCAAGTGGTGGTGCTGAAGGTGCTGGTGGTGGTGGTGGTGGTGGAGTTGGTAGGGGTGTTGATAGCGGTGCTAGTGGCAGTGCAGGTGGGTTACTACAGAGAGCAATAGAGGAGGTGATGGTGGCGATGGTGTGGAGTGAGCGTGTGGTGCGGCTGCTGGCGGTGATGCTGCCGCAGTTTGCCGCCTTCTTTGTGTGGCTGCTGCGCTGCATCCGGGCGGCGAACGAGGATGAGGACGAGGATGTCAGGCCGGGCAGCAATGCTGCGAGCAGCCAAGCACTGCTGGTCAACACGTGAGTGCTACAGCGGACAGTTGGTTCTCAAGAATCAGCGGAAGGTTCTCTAGAATTCTCTAACAACATGAGGCGGAGGGGCAGCAATGCCACCAGCAGCCAGGTGCTGCTGATCAGCATGTGAGTGCTACATGTAGAGTGGCACATAAGGGGTGCGTAGTGGCGCTTGTTGACACTTCGGGCGTTCAGACCTCATGCCTTAGGGCGTTCAGACCTCATGCCTTAGGGCGTTCAGACCTCATGCCTTAGGGCGTTCAGACCTCATGCCTTAGGGCGTTCAGACCTCATGCCTTAGGGCGTTCAGACCTCATGCCTTAGGGCGTTCAGACCTCATGCCTTAGGGCGTTCAGACCTCATGCCTTAGGGCGTTCAGACCTCATGCCTTAGGGCGTTCAGACCTCATGCCCTAGGGCGTTCAGACCTCATGCCTTAGGGCGTTCAGACCTCATGCCTTAGGGCGTTCAGACCTCATGCCTTAGGGCGTTCAGACCTCATGCCTTCGGGCGTTCAGACCTCATGCCTTAGGGCGTTCAGACCTCATGCCTTAGGGCGTTCAGACCTCATGCCCTAGGGCGTTCAGACCTCATGCCTTAGGGCGTTCAGACCTCATGCCTTCGGGCGTTCAGACCTCATGCCTTAGGGCGTTCAGACCTCATGCCTTAGGGCGTTCAGACCTCATGCCTTAGGGCGTTCAGACCTCATGCCTTAGGGCGTTCCGCATTGGTGCTTGGCTCACTTGGGGCGAATGCTGCCAGTCGCAGCAGCAGCAGCAGCAGCAGCAGCCAGCCAGGCTCCTGCAGCAGAGAGTACTAGTGGCAGACATTTCAGAACTTCCAAGTAACAAAAAGTGCTCTACCCTCCTCGTCTCCCCGTCTGCCCCTTCTCTCCCACAGAGTAGGGCAGTGGTGGCGGATTTTCTCCACCAGCGCTTTTACTGGGATATCATCAAAGCGCACCTCGGGCCTGAAGGGGGCGCACCTTGATTCTCCGCGAAACTCGCGAGTCCGTTTCCCATCCTCCTTCTCTCTCCCCCGCCCACACCTCTCCCGCAGAGCAGGGCAGTGGTGGCGGACTTTCTGCACCACCAAGGCGCACCTGCACCCCATCTGCCCCAGATGCCACCTCCCATCCACTTCGACCGCGACCCCTTCAAGGCCCAGTCAATGCGCACCTGGATCCGCCTCCCCCAGACGCCACCTGCTCTACCCTCCTCTCTCCTCCTCTCTCCCTGCCTTTTCCGCAGAGCAGGGCAGTGGTGGCGGACTTTCTCCACCACCACTTGGACTGCGACCCCATCAAGGCGCACCTGGATCCACCTGCCCCAGATGCCACCTCCCCAGGCGCCAGGGTGCCGCCCCCGCCCATGTTCGCTGGGATCACGAGTGGCGCGCACGAGGATGGGGGTATGTGGTGAAGGGGGTATGTGGTGAAGGGGGTATGTTAAGAAGGTGGCGGCAATGGGGGGGTATGTGTGATGGTGGTGATGGGATGGGGGTTTAGGGTATCTGTGATGGCGATGGTGGTGGGATGTGTGTGTTGTGCTCCTCTGCACGGCAACCCTTCCTCGCGTCCTCTCTCACCCCTTGGACCTCACAATCACGCCAACCTTCAATCCTTCCCGCTTCCTGGGTATTGTGTTGTTCTTATACCCAGATGCGCTTCTAAGGGAGGTCGTGTGTGACCTAGCTGGGATCACCAACCCAGCAGCCGTGCACCCCAAGGGAGGCAACAACTCTCTCCGGCAGCGGCTGGACCGAGTGCAACACAGGTGAGCCTTGCGATGTCATTTGATAACTACCACCACCAATTAACGTCCTTTTATAGAATAGAACCCACTCAATTACGTGAGTGTCCACTATATGAAATCGCACGTATTTTGCGGGTATTCAGCCACAGCAGCCAGCTTCACTGCTCGTGCCGTGCTTGCCCTGCCACCTCTGCTGCTTCCTACTGTGCCCACATTCTGTTCCCCCATTCGCCCCACTCCCCCCATCTCCAGTTGTGAGGCAGTGCTATCGGCCACAGCAGCCAGCTTCACTGCCCGTGCCGTGCTTTCCCTGCGGCCTCTCCCACTGCCTCAACGACTTCCCTTGCCCCTTGTCCCATTTCGCCCCCCTCTCCCCCCCTCTCCAGTTGTGAGGCAGTGCTATCAGCCACAGCAGCCAGCTTCACTGCCCGTGCCGTGCTTTCCCTGCGGCCTCTCCCACTGCCTCAACGACTTCCCTTGCCCCTTGTCCCATTTCGCCCCCCTCTCCCCCCCTCTCCAGTTGTGAGGCAGTGCTATCAGCCACAGCAGCCAGCTTCACTGCCCGTGCCGTGCTCGCCCTGCCCTCTCTGCTTCTGCCTGCTGTGCCCACCGCGCCTCTTCTGACTTCAAGCCAACAAGTTGCCGCCCAACAGATTGCCGCCCAGCAGAGAACACCTGCTAAGGCACAAGCTAAAGATGCAGCAGCAACAGCAGCAGCAGCAGCAACAGCCGCCATGCCTGTTAGGGCGCCAATCAGCATCTGCTGCCCCCAAGTAACCTCAATGATCTTCTAGAATCTATTTTCATCTAGGCGGCGCAATGCTTTTTCTCTTTGCTCATCTTTGCCTGCCATCTTCCTGCCATCTTCCTGCCATCTTCCTGCCGTCTTCCTTCCACCCCCCACGTGCTCTCTCCTCCACTCTTTCCCTTTTCTACCGATTTCCCCCCACTCGTTTCCCTCCATTCACCTCTCACCTTTCACTCACGTTGCTTCCGCTCTTCTCTTGAATCACTCTCGTCTTGACCCACTCTCGCATGCCTAACAACCTTATTGCGATGGAGAAGGATTTTATGGTCACGAATTCCCATCTCTCTTTTCTAGTCTTGAAAGTTCTCAAGTCGGTATCCCCATGTTTCTCGTGTAACGAGTCGAGTTTTGAGTCGACTCAAAACTCGACTAGACTTGAGAGTTCTCAAGTCGGGATCCCCATGTTTCTATTCCACCCCTTGCTCTTGTGCGCTTGTCAACAATTGAGTCAACTGTTAATCACCCATTATTCCACCCAGCCATCTTTCTACTCACCATCTTTCTCTTCACCCAACTTTCTCCTCCTTCCCCTGCTCTCCCCACTGCAGCCTTCCTCGCTGATTAATTCTGCTAAAGCTACCAGCACCCCTCACCACCGCCTCCCACCACCCGCTAAGTGCGTCATTGCGCTTCCCCTCCCGTCCTCCACCTCTGTTAGTAGCAGCAGCAGCAGCAGCAGCAGCCAAGTGTTGGTGCTACGAGTGCCTTTGTCCTCTGCAAAACATCCTGCAATTTCCCGTGCATCAGCAGCAGCAGCAGCAGCAGCAGTCAAAGCAGGCGCAGCAGCGACAGCAGTGGCAGGAGCAGCAGAGGGGGTGGAGGCGGCAGTGGTGGATGTGGGGCATGGCATGGTGGTCACAGACATTGCAATGTATAAGGTAGGTACCATCTACCCATGCATGCATGCTTGTCTACCTGGCATTCGAGAGGCAGAGAGGGCAGCGGTGGTGGATGTGGGGCATGGCATGGCGGTGACAGACATTGCAATGTATAAGGTAATGGGTTACCCATGCATGCATCCATGCGCACATGGGGTCTGTCTGAGTTGCATTTTGAGTCGACTCAACAATCAACTCAGAGGGGTGGAGGCGGTTCTCTCAGATGGATGTGGGGCATGGCATGGTGGTGACAGACATTGCACTGTACAAGGTACCATAGACCCATGCATGCATGCATGTATGTCTGCCTGCCTGCTCCCACAGGGATATCGCATTGCACTGCTGCTCACTGCTGCTCACCACTGCTCACTGCTGCTCCTGCTGCTCCTTCTGCCCCTAAACCACAGGACCACCACATCGCACTGCTGCTCACTGCTGCCGCTGCCACTAAAGCAGGCAGCGCAGCAGCAGGGGCAGCGTGGCAGCAAGCCGGGGAGCAGCAGCAGCAGCAGCAGCAGCAGCAGGGGAGGCTGGTGGTGTGTCCAGTAGAGGGTCTGGCGTTCACAGGAATTCAGCTGGGCCAAGGAGACACCCTCCTGCAGGTACAGATGTGTGCGTGCTTGTGTTTGCTTGTGCTTGTGTGTATAGGTGGCTGTGCGTGTCTGTGTGCATGCACGTGAGTGTGAGTTCCAGCAGCAGCAGCAGCAGGGGAGGCTGGTGGTGTGTCCAGTAGAGGGTCTGGCGTTCACAGGAATTCAGCTGGGCCAAGGAGACACCCTCCTGCAGGTGCTTGCTTGTGTTTGCTTGTTTGCTTGTTTTCTTGTGTTGCGTGCGTGCACATACACGTGAGTGCGAGTGTGTGTATGCATGTGTGTATGCATGTCTGCATGCATGTGTGTATGCATGTGCGCGCGCATGCGTGGGTACCTGTGTCAAGTATGTATGTACTAGTGCTGCTGCATCTGATCCGACTTTCCTTTCTTTAACACGTAAGCATGAGTCACAACACAGGTTCTTCCACACATCATCATGACTTTCTTGCTTTCCTTCGCCAGATCCTAAAAAGGCTTCTCGCACTGTCATCATTTTCTTTCCTTCTCTTTGCATCCTCCAACAGCGTAAAACTGGATGAGACTCTCAACACCATATCACCCCCCTCTCTCATTCCGCTTCACCCCTTTCCCAACCCCCTCCTCCCCTCTCCAATCCCCTCTCTAACACCCACCGCCCTCCCATCCGCTCCCTTTGGAGGGCCTTAGGGAACGACCTCTCACCTTCCCCCCCCCCCCGCCCCCGTCTCTTCCCCTTTCCCATTCCCTCTCTCCCCCCCCCGCTTGTGCAGCATCTACCACCTTCTCAGCCGTTCCCCTCCGAGGGCCTTAGGGAACGCCCTCTCACCTTTGCCCGCCCCCTTGCCCCGCTTGCTGCCAGTTGTAAGCATATCACCTGCTTCCACATGTTGCCAAACCAAATCACCCGCCTTGTGCCCCTGACCCCTTCCACTTCTGACACGTCTCAAAAGTCGCTCGCTGCCAGCTGTAAGCATATCACCTGCTTCCACATGTTGCCAAACCAAATCACCCGCCTTGTGCCCCTGACCCCTTCCACTTCTGACACGTCTCAAAAGTCGCTCGCTGCCAGGTGTAAGCATATCACCTGCTTCCACATGTTGCCGATCCAAATGTCTTGCCTAGTGCATGTTTCTCACGCGCCTGACCCCTTCCACTTACGCTCTCCCTTGAAGAGTCATTTTGTCCCTCGTTTGCGGTCCTCATGCTCCTCCCTCTCCTCTCTTCCCAATTTTTCTCCAACTCATCCTCCTATTGCTTTCTACTAACTCATACGTCGTTCTCATTGCTGCCCCACCCTGCTCCCCCGCTGCCTCTTCTTCGCAACTGCATCAGCTGCGCTGTTCAGGGCTAAGCGGAGAGTCTTGGTTCTGGACTGGACCTTGAGGAGGACTTTTCAGCCGACTCAAAAGTCTCTGTTCAGGGTTCAGTGGCGAGTGTTGGTTCCGGGACTTGAGGAGGATGAGGACGGACCAGGAGGGAGAGATTTTAGGGCGTGTTACATTTTTTGAAGTCGCTGAAAGTCCGAACGGCTGTCCGGACGCGTGCGAATAATGCGACGTCGCAGGGTCGTGTTGCGACCAATGCGATGTTGTAAGGAGGCAGTACGACGAATGCGATGTCGTTTAGACCCTGACGAACTCACTATTGAGATTTAACGAGTTCCATAACCACACAATCGTCCGGACGGTAACACGCCCTGAGTCGACTCAAAAGTGTGTTCTCGTTGTTGCCACAATCCGGTTCCCCTACCTTTCCCCTTCGCAGCTGCTCGTGGCTTGGCTGCGGTGTTTGGGGCTCAGCGGAGAGTGCTGGTACCTTACCTTGATGAATATTGGGAGGGAAGAGGAAGAGCTTTGAGCTGACTTATATGTGTTCTTGTTGCTGCCCCATCCCATTTTCTCCTCTGTTCCCAACCATCCCCCCCCCCCCCCACCCCCCCACCCCCGCAGCTGCTCGTGGCTTGGCTGCGGTGTTTGGGGCTCAGCGGAGAGTGCTGGTTCTTGACCTTGAGGAGGATGAGGAGGAAGAGGAGGAAGAAGGGGAGGAGGAGAATGAGGGGGAAGAGGGCGAAGAGGAAGGTGATGGGGCTGAAGAGGGAGGTTGAGTCCTGGTGTTTGTTGAGCCTGTTGTTGTCAGTAGGAGAGGTTGAGGTTTAGGGGGAAGAGGGGAGGGAGGGGGTTGAAGCAGATCAGGAGCATCATGGTCAGGGCCTCAGATTCGTTTTGACGTAGGCTGACTGGTCAACCTTAGAAAGACTTCATGGCTGAGAGGTCAGTGGAGTTGGTAAAAAAAAAACTGATTTTCCAGGTTGTCTAGGAGAAAAAAGGCTGAACGATAAGTGTCGTTTTGCGGTCAAGTTTGAACCACTCATCAAGTAATACTAACAAGATCATCATCATCCTCGTCATCTTCTTCATCCTCACTATCACTAGACCCTACATCTTCTACAGCATGGGGTTCATCTACTTCCATAGCTGTCGCTCTACCCTTCTTGCTGGTTTCCCCTGGGGTGGAAATAGGGGCATTAGAGAATGGCTTCCTCTTCTTGTAGCTTCTCCAAATATCGACCACCTCGTCGAACCGTGGCTCGTACGGCATCAGAGACATGCACATCAATCTCCTAGCTGTGCAACTTTGAGGTTGCTCCGCTGCCAAGACTTGATCACGTTCTGGCGAGAGAAGCCCCTTTCGCACTCCACAGTGCTAAGGGGAATCACCGCCACTGCTACCCACAACAGCACCAGGTTGGGGTAACTCTCCCGCCAGTCAGGAGTCTTCAGAATCGCGGAAAGGCCATCGTGGAAAGATCTCTCCCCCTTGGGTGCAGAGGCACGGACGGAGCAGAACAGTCGCAGCTCTTTGTGGGCCTGCCGCTTCTTGATACCTGGCATGGCAACAAGTGGAGGGGGAGGAAACAATGCAAGACGGGGCTTAGTGATGACTTAAGCAAACGAGAAGGAGGTGTATTGGCAGTAAAGAGAAACAATCCGATGGCATTGAAACAAACATAAAACACGACTCCACCTGGCAGTATGTCTTCTGCCTGCTCTGCCTTGAATAGCGTCACCAGCGACTGCAGCCACTCAACGCATCGTGCGTGACGCTCCAACTTGCTCTTCGGCCACTCATCCGGCAGGAAGAGTCGGACTTCCGACAACGAGTCCAAGTCACTCAGCCGACTCTCCAGGTTCGCCACGATGCGTTCGGCGAAGTCGGTGCAGGCCTCAACACAGCCGTCGTGATCACACCGGCCTTCGTAGCCTTTGACCTTGTCCTCGTGGAGCGTGAACTTGAATGTTGTTGGTCGCCCATAGGAGTCGGGCCCCTCCACTGTCACTTCACGGTCCTTTCCGGGGCCATAACACTCGATGAAGGGCGACAGCCAGCGGGTGAAGCCTCCGCCAAAGTCGTCCCCACAATCCACATATCGGCTCTCGATATGTGTTGTCGTGCGCTTAATCTGACTGTGCAGTGAGACAAGGTCTAGCTGCAGGCATCGGTCAGAAAGGGAAGACTGTCAGCCGCGTGTACCAACAAGTAATAAAGTGAAGGCATGGAAATACACACTCAAACATACCTGGCGCTGCTGAAATGCCCTGTTCAGAATGTTCAACTGCTCAAGAACATCAGCAAGAAAATACATGAAGAAGTGGAAACGGTAGGAAGTGGCGAGCAAAAACAACGCGGAATGAAACTCCTGCAGGAATATGATGACAGCAGGCCACACTGCCAGGATGCGAAGCAACGCATCCCCCCGAGAGAGCCACCGGACGCTATGTATCCCCCGGACCTCCAGGCTGGTCTCGGTGAAGAGCTCCTGGAGGTCCTTGAAGGGCTGGTGTTTCGGGCTGGAACGGCCCAGCAGGTCCGACACCACACGATTAGATCGTCTACCATGTTGAAGACTGGTAGATCTTCGGCCGCATCCTTAGCGACAAGGGCTTCCCTGCATTAAACGTAATAAGAAAAATCAGTACACCGAGCAAGAAAAAAACCAATGAACGCTGTGAATTCAAAGCAGCACTAACCTGTGGGCGATGCAGTGACACAAGACGAGGTGGGGAATCCGCTGTCGCAGGCGAACCACCAGTCCGGCATTACTTCCCATCATCACCGACGCTCCGTCGGTGCTGATGCCCGAAATCCTTTGCAGGTCAACAACCACGGCCTGCAGGTGAGACAACAGAAGGCTCAAGAGGGTCGAGGCGTCAGCTTTCTCAACGGTGATCAGCTGCATGAACTCTGTCACCACGACGGAATCCCGAACGAAGGTGGCGTAAAGAATAAGGTACTTCGTCGGTGCTTTCGTCGATGGCGATGCCGATGAAGGGGCTTGTGAGGATATGCTCCAGCTGGGTTGTCTGTAGCCACGTTGTCAGAGACTGCGTTAGTTCGTCGTAGCCGTACCTGCCAGAATACAAGGCATACATCATTAGTGACTCCGCGTCTGTAAAACAACGTAAACAACAAAGGTTATTACCACTCACGTGGTATAATAAGTCCCATAGCCTTTCTTAGGGAAACCTTGAGCCCCTTTCCGGGAAGATACTGCACCAGCTTCACCCATGTCCCCATGGGTGCGTCGCTGTCGGTGATGAACAGAAGCGCCTCAAGCAATGACGTGACCTGGATCTTTTCTGCATCGACCATTGTACGATGATCGTCGATGCGGGGCTGTTTAGACGCGGCAGCAAGCAGGGCCTCTTACTTCTCCAGTGCCAGCTTGTGTTTTCTCGTCCCGGCGTGCTTGCGAAAGGCCTGCGTCTGGACGTCGGTAGCACCTTTGCCTGTCCTACCACAACGTCCCCTAACACCGGCGTGCTTAGTGCAGAGACTGCATTTGAAAGCAGGCAGACCACAAACAGTTTTGGTACGTACAAGCCATGGGAAATGCTCAAGCCACTTAGTTTTGTACTTATCCAATGCCTCGGCATAAATCGCTTCAACAATCTCCTGAACGTTGATGTCCAGAGACGGGCGCACGGTGGTTTCGTTGACGACAGCTTCAGATACGGGGACACTGGATGATGGCTTCCAAAAACTCCGTTTTTGTTGCTTGAGCTTGATTGTACGCGGTGCTGACGACTTCGACGCCGATGTGCCGACGTGAACGGTGTTGGAAACACCGGGCGGTGCGGGAGGGACGGACCAGATGGAATCCGGGCTATAAGGCACGTTCGGGTTACCCGCCACTGTAGGAATCGGACCGGGTGCAGTGGGTGCTGGAGGTGGTAGTTGGTGGCCTAAAGATCTTAGCAGAAGATCTAGCCCAGTAGGGGCTTCTTCTATGGCGATGATATCTGCGTCGTCTACATCGGCGTCACCCTCGTCGTCTGAAAGGCCGGCGCCATGGCCAGCCATGGCGGAACAGATATGAGAGCGAGCCGAGCACTCAGAGAGCGTGCCGAGCACTGAGAGAACGTGCCGAGAAATGCCTGGTGCTAGAGGCGAAAGAAGTGAAACCCTAGCGAGGATGGGTGAGAGACGGGAGACTCCAGCAGCTACCTAGGGTTATGCAAGAAGGAGCTAGTGACGGTGAAGAGGGATTGGTTGGCAAGCTTACCGTGCCATGATGCAAGGCGACTCGACCCATGGAATCATGCACGTACCTGGTTGCAGCTTCGGGGTGGGTGAGGTGGGGGGGTTTCCTAGTCGCGCGACAACCAATTTGTGGAGCTGTACCGCTGTAACGTGCGTGCGTGGTGCCGCGCTGTTTACATTCCATTCGCCAGTAGTTGATGTGGTTGAACTAACATCCAATCACGGGCGAAGATACCTTAGCGACCTGAGAGCAGTGGGTGGAATGCCTTGTTTGGTACTGCTGATGCCATTCCCGAATGCGTTGGCAAGGAATTTTGCAATTTGGGTGTGATTGACGGAGGGATACACAAACAGCTGTATCTATAGATATCCGGAATTCCGGGCCTAAACCCGATCTCCATTACGGGGATTTCAGCCCAGCCCTCCGATACAAGTCTGATGAGACAGCGCACACACATGGAAAAGAGCTGATATTTCAGCAGAGACAGTTTTGAAAAAACTGAAGTTACAGCATAAACACACTAAAAAAAGCTGCCACAACAGGCCAACGTCCCCCCAAACAGCTGAAATCACAGGCTTTTTACCCCTAATCAGCCTTTTTTCGCTGACTTCTGAGAGCCTGATCATGGTTAGTGGCAATCAGATATAGGAGGGGCTAAGGGGTAAAAGGGTGTTTGTGCGTGATGAGACAAAGGGCAGGAGTGCGAGGATTCAAGAGTTTCCTGTTTTGTTTTCTGCTGCGTTGCAGCAGATTTGCTGGGCAATATAAGGCTCACTTTCAATCAAGATTTTTGACAGTTTATATCATACTGGGGCTTGATTGATATTTACTTTCTCAGAGTGTATTAGTCCCAAGTCAAGCCGCTCCTTTTTGAGGCAGCAACTGTTGACCGGCACCTGAGGTTGATTTCACTAGATTGTCCCTCTGCTCAACACAGGCACGTGCTTGTCTGTGCCGAAAATCCCCAAGGTTCGATGTCTCGTTTCCATTGGCGCTTGCGATCGTTTCCCCGAATCGCGCCGCAGCTGGTCCCAAATTTCCAATGACAAGAAACAAGAAACAGTCGTTTCATTTCACAGGTGGTGCCAGCCAATTTGCCTGACCGCCAGCCAATTTGCATGACCGACATCCATTCCAATTGAATGACAACAGCGAACAGAAGTTTCAGACTTTCTGTTCGACTGCTTTGCAATGCGCACTGTACAAACTGATGCCTGATTGAGCCCCTCCCGGTTGCCTTGTGAAGGGGGCGTATAAGCTGTATCGTGCGTTTCGCATAAGTTCGCCAATTTCGCAGATAGCAAAAAAGAATTCGCATGTGCTTATAAACAAGACCCTGCTACCTAGTTACCTAGTTTGACTTCAGTCTCTTCTGCTTGACTTCGGTCTCTTCTGCTTGACGCGCTTGTAATGTGGGTGCATGAAGCTGGGGAAACAACCTCGGGTGCAGCGTGTCCATCCGGCGCAAGGCAAATTCGCGCGCATGGGGTGAGCATCAGCTGTATTACACAGCTTATAAAAAACTTTTCCAAGTGTACAGAACTCGTATTCTGTTTTCAATA